GTCGCCTAAGACCATTGGAAGTGTTTTCCATTGGTCTTAGGAACCAAGACACCGCTCCTCTATCCGTCTCCAGGCAGGTCCGTCCACATGCAGATACACCCACATACAAGTACCCAGCGTGAAGACTGTTACCCATGCTACATCATGCTTCAAGGCAATTTAATTTTTGTCATTAGAAATATTTCACAATATATAATTAATTACATATTGCTTTTGTGATGAGTCACTGTGCTGTGATTGTTCAATTTGTAGCAATGAAATTACATCCTGCAGATCAGATATTTACATGACGATTCATAACAGTAGCAAAATGACAGTGATGAAGTAGCAACGAAAATAATGTTACGGTTGGGGGTCACCACCACATGAACTGTATGAAAGGGTGGCGGCATTAGGAAGGTTAGAACCACTGCGAGCTATTGAGCAAGGGGGGACCTGATTCTTGGTGTGACCACACGCAGCCATGGCACTGGTTAGCCCACAGTGAGCTGTGGTGGGCCGTCCATTGTCCAGAGGGGCCAGTGTCGAAGCCCACACTTGACTGGTTCCTGAGACTGCCCAGCAAAGGCAATAGGCAGTGCTGATGGTGCTGGGGAGTCTGAAAGGACCCTGGCCATTTGGGGGTCTTGTGAGGAAGGCCCTCGGTAGCCCAGGTGCCTCTTTATGGGAGGTTCACTTTAGCCACTTTACCTGTACGGTTCCCCTTCCTTCCTCCTCCCTGAGATGAGTTCATCGGGAGATGAGCTAATTACGGAGTGCAGGGTGATGCTGAGGACCCCAGTCAGAAGTAAACCTTGAAACACTAACCCACAATTTTCAAGACCTTGCCAGCCAAGAGATGTTTGTTTGGCTGACATACCGTATTATGGAAGACCTCTTCCGCCGCCGCTTCCACCTCCACCTGAAATGGTTCTCTCTGCAGTGGGTGCCCCAGGGTGCCCTGACCCCCGCGCTCCCTGCTGCCGCTCGCCCGGCCCCATCTTGTGTTTGTGTCTTGCTTGGCTCCTCCGGGCCAAGCACTTGGCAACCCAGGTCTAAGCGGAGACCAGTGTCGAGCTTAGATGACCAGTATCTCTCGTTTCATTGTGCTGCCAAGAGACTGCCAGTGTTTTGATTTTTGTTTTCAGACGGAAGGCAGGCTGGTGGCAGCCTTGTCTGCTGGCCCATAGACTCACTTCACGTCTGTGTCACGTGTCGGCCATGCTTGACACACTGCAAGCTTCTCAGTGATCTGCACACTTCACAGGCGGCACCGTCCTGTAAACAGGCCGATTCGTTGTCCTGGCAGGGAGGGGAATGGGGGGGGGGGCACATCCTGTCCTTCCTTATTGAGATGCTTCCTTTATTGGGGTGGTCCGGAACGGAACCTGCCCTCTCCCTCGAGCCTTGCCCTGACACGGGGGTTCCAGGAGAGCCTTTGTGACGAGCTGGAGGCCTGACTTCCGATGGACCCCCTGACTGGCTTTCCCTGGGGTTCAGAGCCCGTGATACGTAACAGGAGTGGTGCGGAGGAGCAGAGATGGGCCTATGGTCAAGCCGGCAGTACGGCGCTTCAGCCAAGCTTCATCCGTCTCGTCTCAAGACGACCTTTGTCTGACTCACGCGTCCTAAGGGACGTTCAGCCTGCCCAGCCGCCACTCTGTTCTTGGTGAAACTATGCTGTTTCTGGGTGGACCTCAGCGGCCGCGTGACGGTCAACAGTCAGCGGTCAGCGGTGAGTCCGTGCTGGTTGGTCGTGTAGAGGTGGACTGTGAGCTGAGAGGGCGAGCTGGGCTCTTCCTGTCTGCATGAGAGATCCTTTATCCACGTCTTCAGTCTTTTCAAAGACTGCTGGGACCATTGGGCGCAGACCACTCCTTACTCAGCCCCCATTCTGTTACTAGGACACAGTGCTGTCCTTACTGAAGACCCCCCACTTCTCTCCCCATCCCGCCCTCCTTCCTTGTCCCTCTCCCTCACCCTCCATCTTCAAGTAAGCTCCCTCCTGGTATGAGATTCAGGAAATGGCAGTATATAATTTATGGCAGAGGGACGGGCAATTTAAGAGGACAATGGAAAATGTAAGATTGGGCCCTAGAAACTTAGGACCAAAGCCCAGGGATCATCAAGGCCAATTGGCATAATAGACCACAAGACAAGGTTCTGCATCCTACTGGTCTCTGCCCACCGGGAGCAAAGAAGGGTGAAAAACAAGCAAATGCCCCAAACAAGTCCAAGATGCAGGGAAACAATGGGTCCCATGGATTAATGGACCAGGTGGACCTCAGCCTGAGACCACAGGAGCTAGACGGTGCCCAGCAACCACTAAGGCAAACCAAGACCGTTTGGGTTTGGGGCTAATACCTCCAGCATCCTGAGCTGTGTGAGCCGGGCTGCCGACTCAGCCTCCCCAAGGGCTTAGCTACAGCCCTAGAACGGAGACCAAGACTGTCTCCCGCCTTGGGCTGTGGGGAGAGCAGGGGTGAGACTCCTGGTGCAGAGAGGGGATTTAGTACACCTTCATGGCAGCACCTTTGATGACAAGGATGGGATTTCTCAACCCCCTAGGTCTCACAAGTGGTGGTGGTTGTTTTTCACAACTGAAATCAGTCCCAATGAAAAGCCCAAATCACTTGCAGCTGCGTCGGTTCCAACTCATGGTGCGCCTTGGCTGAACTGTGGTCCCAGGGTGTTCGCTGGCTCCCTCTCCCCAGGATGAATCCCCAGGCCTTCCGCTAGGCTGACTCCAAACAGAGCAAGCTCGCTGCCCTCGAGGGTCTTCCGCAGCGACCCTGCAGGGCTGGGGAGAACCGCTTTGGGTTCCCAAGACTGCAGCTTGTTATTGGAGCGGACAGATTCACCTTTCTGACAGGGAGTGGCTGGTAGTTTTGAACCACGGACCTTGTGTTTAGCAGCCCAAAGTGAATCCAGAGCCCTACTGGGGCTCCTAGCGTGAGTTGCTGACCACACAGAGACCCGACGCCATGCTTGCTGGGTGCTACGCTCATTTCTATGCCTGCATGCCTTCTTCAGAACAGGATGCTCTTCCCGGGGATGAGCCGCCTTCCCATCGTTGACCCAAGTCCCAGGCCATCCAGCTCACAGTGGGTGCACCGAGCCCCGTGGGGTGTGCAGAGCCTCGCGGCCACCACCGCCAATTGCAGAGCGCGGTCTTGTCTGTAGAGAGAAAGCTTGCTCCCTTGGACATCACCTCCAGCCCTCCCGTCCCCTCATCTCCTCCAGTGCCACCCCCGCTGGTCCTCTCTGTGTGTCCGCAAACCGAGCTCCGTGCCATCGAGTGGATTGTGACTGGTATGACCCGATAGGACAGAAAAGGGGACCCCCTCCCCCTTTGGCTTTCCAAGACTGTACATGTTCATGGGAGTGGGCAGCCCCACCTTTCCTCATCCTGAGTGGCTGGTGGGTCTGCATGGCTGGCCTTAGGGTGAACCATTCAATGTGTAGCCCACTACCCCACGAGGGCTCCTTTACTCTGTGTCTGTTGATGTGCTTCTTCCAGGCCCTGGGCACACCTCTGCCCCGGGCGACGGGCCTCCCTTCCAAAGCAAGACACAGTAGTTCGTGCCTGGGCGTGTGCTAGGTAGCATAAGGGTTCTGGTCCAACCGTCTCTGCAGCATCCTGCCGACCACGGGTGACACTTTGCAGGTGGTCAGGCACAGCTGGCGCGTGGTTCCTGGAGCCAACTCCCTGGCTTCTCTGTGCAGCAGGCACAGCCCCCTCCTGCCTGACTCCTGCTCCTGCCCCGTCTATATTTAACGTGTTTACAGATAATGATGGTCTCGGCCCTGTGCGGGAGGCAGGCGGGAGCTGACAATTGCAGGCTGCGCGCCTGCAGGCTTCTCCGGGAGCTCAGGACGGCACGGGCACCCTGCCTCTCGCTGCCTCCTTGCCACCGCCCTCCCAGGGTGCTGGGGGATGGTCCCTCCATGGTGGCCCTAAGGTGCAGGGTGAGCAGGCACCTTTAGTGGGGAAGCAGACAGGGGCTTTCATACTCTACAGCTTAGAGGGGGCCGTCCCGCTGCTGCTGTGCCTTTGGACTTGGTGGCTGTACTGGGTCCCCGTTAGGGACAGGGCAGCGCTCTCCCTAGCCCCAGAGGGCATGCTGGGCAGAGGCAGCAGCCAGGAGCAGCAGGCGGCCTTCAGTTCCAGGTGAGTGCTGGCCTCCTCTGCTACTGCTGAGCTAAAAATACCAATTCCACCCAAATGCCCTTTCATCTCCAGGCTTGGTAACCCCCGGGTCACAGTGGACAGTCGCCACTGGGCCTCCTGATTGCTCGGTGGCCTGCCCTGGGCATGACTATGTCTACACGGAATACCACCTGTGTGTCTGTGTTTTGTTCCCTGTTGTAAAGATGTGAAGTAGGGGCTATTTCTGATCTCGAGGTTTAAGCCTTGCTGTTGCGACGGGAAGGGTTTCATGGAAGGGCTTCCCAGAACTCGTGGAAGAACCCCTCTGTCTCCTAGCTGCAGGTCTCCAGGACCTCTGTGGAGCACCCCCTCCCACCCCTGTCTAAAGCCTGCCCACTCGGGAGCCAGGTGAGTGTGGGCTCTGCCCTGGAGTTCAGCGCACCTGCAGGCAGCTTCCTGCTCAGGAAGGTGGGTCGCAGGTGTGGTTGGCTGGTACATGCGATGGATGCAGGTTTCCTGGGCTGCGCGGGTATGGACTCTGGGGAGCATGTTCCTCTACAGATGGTGCTCCAGCTGGGGTGGGGGTGGGCGGTGCTCCCAGGTGGCAGGGTTGACCCTGCTCTGGGCCCAGGACCTGGTGAGGGGCTAGCTGTTTGCTACCCCCCTCCCCCACACCATAAAGGCCTCCTTTCACCGGCGGCTGCAGAAGATGTGGTCATTGAGCAGTGGCGTCGTGGGTGGCGTGTTTTCTGCTTGTGCGGATTACAGAATTATGCAGATGCATCCTGACGATGATGGTTCTCAGTGTCTGAAAATAGCAAACCAGGAGGCAAAAAGTGGGGGGCCTCCCATTCAGAATCGTCAGCGAGGTGTGATTTGACAGCAGAGGGCCTGGGGAGAGGTGCCCCAGCTCCCAAGGCACACTTGACTGAGCATGCTGATCCCCAGAAGCCAGCAATCCCGGGAGGGCAGGGTGCCGGGTTGATCCCTGCTGTGCAAGGCATCATGTCTGGCCAGGGGAGCAAGGCCGACAGTAATGGCATCCGTTTCCTGAGCCCTCCCCGAAGGTCACCTGGGGTGTGCAGTTGGCTCCGTGGTTTACCTGGGCTTCTACCCGTGCATCTTTATTCTGTTCCTGTCGGGCTTCACCTCTTGGCTGTCCTGCAGCAGAGCCCGAAGTGGATCTGGTCCCCCTAAAAAAGTGATCCCTGGGGTGGAAATGCATCGGTGTCAGGAAGCAGGGCCACTGGGCCAGCGAGGTGGCCACCCACCTGTCTGGGGGCTGAGTGTGCTCTCGGATGAAGGATGAGACACACCTGCCTGCGCCTACATCCCCCGGAGCAGGCTGTGCACCCTCACCTTTGTGGGGGCCGGCAGAGGTTTATCCCCAAGTGGGTGTTCCTGGGTCTCCAGATCTGAGTCCTGGGCGGCTATTCTTGGCTCCCTGTCTTCAGGGCCCTCTGCCATCACTCTGTGTGTCACAGTGGAGTCCCATCTGCGCTCGCAGGTGCTGGTGCTTCTGGGCCCCGCTTGTCCTGGTCTGAGCACGGAGCACCCCCGTCCATCCTCTGGGGGTACTTTCAGTCTCGCTGGTGAACCCAGAATATGCCGACAGAGCCTGGCTGTGCTTTCTAGCCATGTGCCCTGCTCCTGGGGCTCCTTCCCCTGCTGAGCGCGACCACCTGGGGACGGGGAGAGAGGATCCAGCCCACTGCTGGCCATAAGCATGGAACCCTGGTTCCCCCTTTTGCGGGTGGAGAGGGGTGTTGGCATCCCTGGGGTGCTCGTTACAGCTGCACCCACGGGCTTGCAGCAGTGGCTGAAGATCTCTGTCCTAGCCTGCTCCCAGGCGAGGCTGTGGGTCCAGGAGCCGCGCCGTGAGAGATGAGCTCAGGTGCAGGTGACAGTGGAGGGTTGGTGACCCCTGGGCAGCTGGATGGTGCCTCAGCTGTGGCAGCTCATGGCGAGCCTGGGGGAGAGCAGAGCTGGCCTGCAAGGCTCACCAGGTGGTCCTCTCTCTCCGGGGCTGACTGCCTCCTCTCCAGCACAGAGCTGTGGTGGGTTCTGGCTGCAGCGCTGAACGTACTGCACCAGGATATAGGCAGAGCCGGAGGGGCCTCTATGGGCTCACTGGACTGGACTGTGGTGGAAGAGGAGCTGGAGTTTAAAAGAGGTTTTAAGAAAGTGCCATAGAGGAAGCCCAGGGGGGCAGCTCCACCTGTCTTACCAGGTCTCTGGAAGTCAGAATCAACCCCCTGGCAGTGCTTGGCTTCACAGCAGGGGTGATGAGCTGGAATGTGATGTGGGGAGATGAAGGCAGGAATATTTAAGGGGTCACACGTCGTCCCTTAGCCCTGGCTGAGTCCCTCCTGGGTGAGGGAAGTTTGCCCTGAACTAGGAAGTCCAGGTTCTGTGGGTGGTCAGGGAGGTCCCCACTCCTGTGCTCGCCCCAGAAACTCACAGTAACTTTCCTGCAGCCACCAGAGCTCTTCTGAGCAGGCTAGCTAGCGGGCCACCCCTGAAGGACCGGATGTGCAGAGCCACGTTGTCCCAGGGCTGTCTGGGATCTGGAGTGTGCCAGGGAGGGATAGCCCCGTGTCTCTGTGCTAGTGCTGAAGCACTTTGGGAAGGACCCGAGAGTCCCGTGGAGTCTGATTGTCAGCGGCGACACAGTGTGTCCTCAGGAGTCCTGTCTTCTGCCTGTGCACCATGGTTTTGAAGTGGGCTCACTACTGCGGCCAGCATCAGGCACTTTCCAGGGGCTCAATGCTTGCCTGAGGTGTGAGCTCCCTAACTCTGTCCTCCCAGGGAGGACAGTGTGGGGGAGGGGCAGAATGCCAGGAGGTGGGGTCTGAGGCATTGGGAAACTGGCCTGGTCCCCTGGGGTGCAGGCAGTCCCAGCTGGCAGAGTTCTG